CCCATCAATTTTACTTATGTTCTTTATTTTTCCATTACAACAGCTGCCTTTGAAGACACCTAGAATAAATTCTAGAAGAAATGTGCAAAGTAACTCAGTTACCAATCTGATGTCGAGTGGATGGTTTTCTTTTCTTTCCACCTACACGGCACCTATGCTTCATGACTGAAACGCTACAGAAATGCTGGGAGCGCTTCCCAGCCCTGATGCATAACCACCCCATTTACGAGCATAGTGGTTCTGTGCCAGAACACGTTCAGCTTAAAGACCGGTGGGTTTGATTCTTGGCCCCAAATTTCAGGGCAATGTAAACGGTTGAAGTTGCCACCTTTGTAGATACCACTCCCAGGTTTTAAAAAGACTGTCAGGTTTTACCTCGTCTCACCATAGTTTCAGGCTATAAATAGAAGGGAACTAGGTAAGCGCTTTCTCCTCAGCATGCACACTGACAAAAAGCACAGAGAGAATGTGAGGTAACCTTGGGGAGAAGGAGCCAGAAATCACTGCAGCAAATTCTTGTCCTAATCACAGTAAAGGAGAGCGAAGACAAGGGAGATGAGGGAGCTGAGAGCTCTCAGCGAGGCTGGTTTTATTTATGCAGTTAACCCATGTTACAGAACATACCATCAGAATGCAAATCTCTAAGAAAAAACTCATATCCTAGTCATCAGCTTCGATTTAGGGTCATCTTGGACTCAGGGATCCACTAAGGATCGTAGCCCATGGGGACTACAAAGGAATTTTACAATTAACCTACAGATGAGAAAACAGGGTAATTTATCTAAAATCATATCGAGCCAGGGGCAGAGCAGGGACTGCCACACCATGGGGCCACTATGGGACGGAAGGGGGTGCTAGGTGTTTATTTTCTCCCATATCCAAGCCCACCCTCCTGTTCTCTGCTCTGTCGCGCTGGCGCTGGGCTCTGCAATCTGCATTGCCTGTGCTCCGCCCAGCTGGTTGGGTTCTGGTGAAGAGGCAGTGGTAGGAGGATGGAAGGCAGGAGGGAAAGAGGAAACTTTCTCCCTTTTGCTAGCTCCTGTCTGTGTCCCTACAGCAACAGAGGACAGCGATGGCTCCAGTTTCCAGATTCTTTTGGTAGCCCCAACACCAGCCATGGTGTGTCCCCTCAGAAGTCCCAGCACTAGTGGCTATAACCCCCACACCAGTACGTCATACCCCAATCAGAGGTTTGAGCACCAGCCATTTGGTGGGTGTCTCCTTCCCTAGCAGAAGTCCAAGCCCTAGTGTGGCATCTCCCTCAGAGATGTGGGGCCCTCTCCTCTGAGCTCCTAGATTATGGTAACCCTACTGTATTCTAGGGGTGGTAGCTGTTTCCTAAATTATTAATATATATCTACTACCTCAATATCCCCTTTTTGCTACTTCAGCCTTCTCTTATTAACTCATCTCTGCTGTAATATCCACCATAGTTTTCTTACTGGACCCTGACTGACACAGTACCTGGTATCAAAAATGGGTTTGTCTGCCACACTTGGCACACATATTTCTCACTAAAACATCTAAGGTATTTGCTACTTCCTGCTCAACAGGTCCGATGTCATGGACCAATGAGATGTTCTGAGGGGCATCAAGACCATCAAGATCTCTGCAGACTAGATTACGGCAAGAACAGAAAAATTGACATAGCCGGGATGTTATGCTGATTTCTTAACAGCTGTAACTTCTTTTTTCCCAGGTATCCCATCTAGATTTTAATACGTAAAAATTAGTGTGAATTCACGTTGTCAACAAGAATGGGATCTGAAAATTTATTTTTAATGTCGTTATTCTCTAGCAGCATCTGCTTAATTGAAAGCAAGTGAAGAAATCTAAATAACTGTTAATTCTCCACTAGATGGCAATCATTACACAAATTTGTGTTAGACTCCCATTACACTAGTAACCAACAAAAATGGATTCACAGAGTCAATTTTATTGATCGTGAGCAACTGACAACAGTTGGGAGTGTGCCAGAGGTATTATGACACTGCTTTGGTGTGAGGCTGTTTTGACAGCATTGTTCTTTCACTCACTGACCTGTGGTGGAGACTGCTAGTTGTCCCCACACACGCCAGATAGGACAGGCTTGGTTATGTTGCAGTAACAAAATAACTCCAAATAAATCGCAATGATCTGACACATTTCGTGTTGCATGCAGATTGGCAGAGCTCTATCCCACAGTCTCGGGGATCCAGGCTGAGGCAAGCGCCAGTATCGTGTAGGTGCCTCATCCGGAATCTTGGCTTTCCTGGTGGGTGTGGCAGGGGAGAGCTACTGGAGAACTGCATGTGGTCTTTTCACCACGTCACTTCCTCTCCTAGCCAACTGGCTAGAACCAGTCACGTGGTCTCAGTAGGAGGTCTAGCCATCCCGTGTCCAGAGGGGAGGAGAACCCCAGATCTTGGCAAACACTAGGATTGTCTACTACACCCTATATCTATTCTTCTCTTCTTCGACAGCAATAGAACTCCTCCTGGTTGTTAGCTGGGCACATGGCAGTCCCTCCCCCTCCCTCAGTAAAGATTACCTTTCTAAATCTAAGTGGCTAAGTTGTGGCCAATGGCTGTAAGTTAGAGTGAGGTGCACATCTCGTAGGAAGTGTCCTTAAGGAGAGGAAGCACACCCTTCTCTTCCTCCTCCTGCCTCCTGGCTGGAATGTAGGCATGACGGCTGGGGCTCACTCTAGCAGCTCTCTTGGATTTTCAAGTGACCTTGGGAATGGAAGCCCATCATGAAGGAAGAACTACCTGGAAAGAGCCGTGGTCCCTGACCCACTGGAGAGCCATACCAACTCGAGACCATCTGCGGACTTCCTAATTGTGAGATGTACATTTATATCCTTTTAAAGTCACGGTTTTGGGTTTTTTCTGTTACTTGCAGCTGAATTTAATCCTTACTAATACAGTGCCCCAAGGTAAAGTCTGTTATTGCTTCTCTTCCCAGTAAGTAACATCTCTTTTCCCCTTCCATGTTCAGAATTCCTGATAGACATAGAAGTTTGACAGGGGTCAAAATCTCTCTACTACTATTAATAAAGCTGATTGGAGGCATGGCTTTAGACTGGTGGACAAAGGGACTTGTTAACACTTCACCCCTGAACCGGACAGATTATGTGCCTGTTACTGACATAACTTGGGTTCCTCAACCTCGACACTAACGACATTTGGACCCGATAATTCCGTTGGGTGGGGCTGTCCCATGCACCGCAGGATGTTTCCAGCATCCCTGGCCTCCACCCACTAGATGCCAGTAGCACTTCCAGTCGTGACAAACAAAAACGTCTCCAGACATTGCCGAATGTCCCCCAGTGGAGAACCACTGGCGTAAGTGAACAACTGCAGGGCCCCACCTTGGGCAGATCAAAATGCCTACTTCCACAGGCAGGAAAGCGGGGCCCAAAGAGAGGAAACCCAAAAGGGGCAGAGCCTTTAACGCTCAGTTCCTTTTTCCCAGCTCAGTATCAGGGAAACCACCTCTTTTCTTCTGAAGAGGTGATTGAGGGGGTAGGAGAGGCTGAGAGCATTACTGTGATCCAAGTTCCAACCTAATGCTAGCTGAGTTCTCCTGAAGTCTTCATTCCTTCTTAATTTTCACTCCTTTCTCCATCTTCTCTCAGCAGATCTCCTCTTCCTCCTCTGAGCCCCCACCTCCTGTCCCCTGAAGGCTAAAAGCCCCAACCTCGCCCCCTCCCCACCTGACTGCACCTGACAATGAGCCTAAGACCAACAAGCCTCCAGGTCTGTCCTCAGTGGTCAGAACTGTCAGAGCAAGTGCCAGCCAGCCGAAGGCACTGCCTTAATCCTCAGCACTGACACCTGGCATGGCCGGGCAGCTCGTGGGATGGGGGTAAGCCAACCGCTGGTAGAATTAGAGCCACTTTAGCAGATGAACTGCTTTTAATGACCTAGGTGGTTCTATTCTGATTTTCATTTTTAATTTTGGTAGATAATCAAGTGGCAGACTCCTGAGATTTTGAGACACAACTTCTCTAACCCTCATGTACACAAGAGCAATGCTGGTTCTGTCCTCAGCCCCTCAAGCCTCCAGTGACACCATCATTCACTTGTGTAACGTCGGGCATCCAACCAGACACCAGTCAAAACATGCGTCCCTGGCACCAAAACGGGTCAAAAGTGAGGGACAAAGGGGTCCTGTCTCGAGTTGAAAGCTTCCCTCTGGACGACAATGCACTCATAGAGCAAAGGTGCCCATCTTTTGCTGAGGTGAGGGGCAATTAGGCAGATGTGCTGTAACTTTTAACAAAATGCACAATCGTACAGAGTAGTCATTTTTTTTCCAGTGCAAATCCAGTTTGTTTGTTGATTTGTTTTTGAAAAGTCAAGGTTTTTGCTTTTAAATTCTTGGGAACTGGGGTGAATGTAGTCAAGGTCACTTATCAACCAGCAAAAATGTATTGAACGCTACATAAATATGGGAAACACAAACATGTGAGATATGGTCCCTGCATGCTGAGAGCATGTAATGCCAGTTGGGAAAATCTAACAGCAATTTAAGAAAATAAACGACGGCTATCAAGTGCTCCGTATGACTAGGCACAATGGCAGTCAAGTGGAAGGAGGAGTTTAAGCCAGGTCCAGAAGGGGCATGTAGTTTTGAAAACAGAGAACAAAATTCCAGGCAGGATGAGAGCAAAGGCATAGAGGCGGGAAAGTGTAATGTGTGTTTCAAGCACAGTAACTAGACCGATTTGGTTTGGGTCGAGGGCCTACAAGGCAAGTAACAAGACTGGAAAGCTGGGTTGGGGCCAGCCTAGGGCCTCATACAGTAGAGAGTCTGGACTTCAGCCTGAAGGAAATACAGAAACTCTCAAGGTTTCTGAAAGGGGTTAAGTGACGTGAAAGTAATTAGTAGCGTATGTTCAGGATGCAGTGGGAGGGGGAGCCTGGAAGCTAGTTCCCAGGACGCTTGCTTTAGCAGCTGTAAAAAGAAGAGACCAAACACCAGAAAATGGAGTGATGAGAGAGAAACATTCATTTATACAACACATCTACAGTTCACAAAGGACTTTCACTTACATGATCTCATTTTACCCTCAGAAGAGTTTGTAAAGTAGAACACTGATCACATTTCACAAGTAAGGAACTGCTCTCAGCACCGACGCCCTCACCTTTGCGATGCCATGCTTCCGTGGTTGGTTTTGGGGCACTATCTTCTTTAGTTGTTTTTTTCCCCTCTTCTCATTATTCCTTCTCAGGGAAGGCTTTTTCTTCTCTATTTCCCCTTAAATATATATAGATGTTCATGGGCCTCTCCTCTGCTCCTGCTATATCCTCTCATTAGATGACCTCATCCACTCTGATGGTTTTAGCTACCACATATAAACTGACATCTGCCAAATCTATTATGCAGAGCTCAGATCTCTCCACTGAGCACCGGAGCTACACATACACAACTCCTGCCTAAACTTGCACGTTCATGCAGCATGTCCAACACGAGGAGCACGGAGAGCAGTCCCAAGCCTACAGAAAGCAGCCAGCAGGGACTGTAGGAGGAAGGGGTCTGGTGTTCAGCAGAGGGACAGGACTAGCAAAAGCTGCTGGAGCTCAGAGGTATGTGAATCCTAAACACTCAGTGTTATTTTTCACTGTTTTGATTTTTGATTCCTATGTTAAATCTTTTTATACATGGTCTTAATTTCAAGTTGCTTCCAGTCTTTCTTTGAAAGCAAGAGGTTTAAAGTATAAATTTGAATGATGCTCGCAAGCCAAGTATTATTGGTCTAATTTCACAATTCACTCCTTCAGTCACTGATTGGTTCAAACATTTATCGAGCACTTTTTATGTGCCAGGCAAGCGGTGGGTATAACAATGATTAAGACAAAGTCCCTCAAGGAGCTCACAGTCTAATGGTAAACTACTGAGTCAACGGAGGCACAGAGTGGTAAACGACTTACCCAATGAGGTAGAAACAGCCAGGTACTTGGAAATGTGGGATTAGAGCTGGAGAGAGGGCAGGGTACAACTAACTCATCATAAGTAAACCCTTCTGATTAAGGAGCAAGGCTACATACAGAAACATATTACAAAGTCTGCTTGCAAAAAGGTTAAAATAGTTTCCAATTTTCACCATGATTCAATTCATGCCTTGCAATGAATTAAGCCATTACCTGATGGCATTTCTATACTTGCCCCTAGAGCCTTGGGGCATGCCACTAGTCTGCCGGGACACAATGACTCTGCAGGGAGCTTGAAATCCAATTTTAGCACTGGGAACCATATTGAAAGACTATAATTAAATCCATGAACTTTAAATGTATAGCACATTTATGATACTTCTACATGTAGAAGTTAGGAAAAAACTCTCCTCTAACCCTCATTCAGAGGATTCTAATAAGTTATAGATACCACAGAAATTAGAGAATTTGTCTGTTACTTTCCATATATACACTCTTTTGGCTGTACAAGGGTGAAAAGTTTCACTCAGACATATTTCATAAGTAATCTAAACATTATACAAATATATACAAAGACATCACATTTAGATGGGTGTGAGCACCCATCCAGTGTACAACAGCTAACTGCAGACGTGAACCCGTGTAAGGCAACTTCTTCTGTGATGATGACACATGATCCTTGAGGAAAGGGCAGAGTCCACGAAGAACTGTCCATTTCAGGCCTGACCACCTGTTTCAGTGATACTCTTTGTGATGAAGTTATTTCAGTAGGCAAGAGGTCTATTTCACTGACAAAAGCAGTGAATAATTATAAAAAGAGTTGTTTCTGAAAGCGGAAACCATAATTACCCAGTAATCTAAGTGGCGAACTACTCAAACATACAGCGGGCCATAACGCTGCTACTAACTGAGAAGGGAAAACTTCATGATGATTATTGCTGGGAATCAAATCTGATGCATAATTCACCCACATACGATGTTCCAAAGAAAACTCAACACACGAAGTCTCCAATGCTGTCAGTTGCTTACTTCAAGCAACTCTTCGCTTTGTGGTGGAGGATTTTCTTCTGAAAAATAACAAACATGAGAGAAATTCTCCTAAGTGAGGGATTGAAGGGCAGACAGGTAACAGAACACACAATTCAAGTGCTTAAAAAAAAAACTGGAAGATCCCTGGTCAAGAACAATATTCTTACGTTAATGGCATAAGGCTAATGTTTTCAGTCTCACGAGAACAAACTGGAACTCAAACATGTACCTGAAAGCACCTGTCAGAGAAGGCAGGTGGCACCACCATGGGACCAACGACAACCAAGTTTTCTCTGGTATCAAAACTACATGGAATTTAACCATACAATTGTTAGAAATAGCCTCAATTATAGTAAGAATTACCTTGTAATTTTTAAACTCATGTTATTGTGGCTAGGAAGAGTAAACATATCTGTAAGGCCATAATGTGCATTTATAAAACTATATATTTAAAATCACTAGAGGGCCGGCCCCGTGGCTTAGCAGTTAAGTGCGCGAGCTCCACTACTGGCAGCCTGGGTTTGGATCCCGGGCGCACACTGACGCATCGCTTCTCTGGCCACGCTGAGGCCGCGTCCCACATACAGCAACTAGAAGGATGTGCAACTATGACATACAACTGTCTACTGGGGCTTTGGGGGGAAAAATAAAGGAGGAGGATTGGCAATAGATGTTAGCTCAGAGCCGGTCTTCCTCAGCAAAAAGAGGAGAATTAGCATGGATGTTAGCTCAGGGCTGATCTTCCTCACAAAAAAAAGAAAAAAAGAAAAATCACTAGAATCTTAAATTTTGAGAATCACAAAATTGGTATGTTTACCTTTATCAGGGCGTTCTGGATGTTTGCCCTTAGAGGAAGAGGTCCCTACACCTTCAGACGTCTTACTACTTGAGTGATTCTGTTCCACTTCACATAGGTAAACATCAATAGGTCCTTTGGTGCTCCGTATGTGGACTGTGATAGAGTCCTAGCAAAACACACACAAAACAAGACAAATGAGAGAATTCATTCATTTTTTTTCCCCCACTTACTAGACTATAGAAGAGTCAACGCAAATTTCTGAAAATTTAAATTCAGGTAGTTTCCTATCATACATTTGAGAAAATCGTACTTGACTTAGTCACATTAAGCAGTGGCCAACAGCAACCAGACCACACAGTAATGGTTTCAGAGCCATAAAGTGAACACTTCAGGACTCAACAGCCCACCCTTCTCTACTCAAGGAGTTGACCCCTTCAAGGAATCTGTACTTGAATCAAATTGGTGTTTTGATAACAAAAAATCTAAAACACCCTGTCGTCTCAAATGATGAGGGTGTGTTTGGAGTTCCAGACCACTGAAGAGGTACTGCACTAACTGAAGGGACCACTCTTTCATCCACTTGAAAAAAAAAAAGAGGATGAAATGAAGATGAAATATAGCTCACGTAATTTAAAATATTAAAATCCAAAAGATTTCAGGAAACTGGGGGCTTCTACTGAGAATTATGCTAAATTCTTAGGGAACAGTTCCAGTTATAAATGAGTCCTCTGTTGTTTTGACTGGGAGTGGGCTCAACTGAAACATTACATCTATTTCCTTCCCTTTCATGCAGTCAAGGCCTGGGCTAAGCTTTGCAGACATCACCACTCCCCTCCTGCTCCCAGCTCACTGTGATCTCCTGACAGAGGAGTTCAGGGAGATGCAGCGTATCAGAGGGTCTCAAAACTGCATGTGTCATCCCTCCTAGAGCTTCCTGGTACCAGACGGGTAGGCTGGAGAACATCTATGCTCAGCTTCTAGACTGCCAGGTCAGGTCTGGTTTGAATGGTACACCTCGTACAAGTCAACAGACAGTTCTAAACAATAAAAGAAACTCATACGTCGCTCAGAACTGGCAGCCAGCTGAGGACTTCATATTTCATGAAATCGGGGCCTGGCAAACATCTTCTTTAAAGGGTGAGGTGGTAAATATTTTTGGCTCTGTGGGCCATACCATCCCTTCATAACTACACAACTCTGGCATTAGAGAGCAAAAACAGCCAGAGACAATATCTAAACAAATGGGCACGTGGCTGTGTCCCAATAAAATTATTTACAAAAAAATCAGCAGGCCGGATATGACCCGAAGGCCAGTCCATCCACCCAGCACTATCCACCCGGATATCTGTGGAGTCTGACTCCGCTGAACACAGCGAGCTCTCTCCAGTGCTCCCACTTAACTTCCCTATCGCTGGGAACGACTGCCCAGAGGGCCCATGTGCATCAGCTTTTAAATGGGACTCTGAGAGATGTGACGAGCATGATCAAAAGGATCAGCAAGATTTAGCAATTACAGTCTAAAGCAGCTCATAGCATAGGGAAAAAAACCAAAAACCTACCAGTCACTGCAGAATGGACTATCATGTCCCAAAGAAAGGAAGTCTGAAAGATTAGTTAATTATTTTTTAAAAAAAGAGTTCCAACATCTGTGAAATGACTCATATTAAATATAAATGTTACTTAGGAGACCTGGATATATCTAAATCCATATAAAACTAGGAAACATCACCAAGACGCCACAATTTGATTGTGACCGGAGTAAAAGAAAGCTGTTCCTTAATCGACTGATAGTACACTGTGAAGTGAAACATGGGCTCTCCCTGGGACGGGGGTCTGCTGGAGATAAAAGGAAAGGCGGGTGGTGAGAGTACTCTGCATTACGAGGGAGGTAAATCCCTCTAGCAGCGGTGAGGACATCCCCACGGGCACTGATGGGTCTATCAGGCTGTCAGAATTGATGCTCTGTCCCAAGAACAGCCACTTTTCTTGGTTCTGATTTCATCCTTACCAAGCAACCTTCTGACGACAATTATCTTTTAACACAAACTTCCCTGTAAGGGAAAGACTGTGGTAAGCAGATGGCAGCTGATAATATTTTCACTTACACAGCAATTTTACTTTTCATGTTAAATGTATAACTTAGTGTTGTAGCTTATTCATCAGTCTTTTATGAGTTTGGTTAGTCAGCCTAGAGCCTTGGCTGACACAGGTCTGCCCTCTGGAACTTTAAAACTGAGGCCACTTCTTGGTCATTCCTCTACAAGGCATTATAGTACCACGGTTTAGAACAAACTCGGAAGCCAAACTATCTGGGCTTGAATTCTGGTTCTGTCACTTACTGTGTGACCGTGAGAAAGTTAGTTAATCTCTCTGTGCTTCAGGTTCCTTTATCTTGAGAGGATAATAATCATGACTACTTCATTCACTGTGTTATCAAAACAAGTTCAAGTGCATACAGTACCTGAGCAGTACCAGGTATGCAGCTAACATGCAAGGAATGCTCATAAAGTTGCTGTGACTGCAATAAACTACAGCGTAAGCAGTTGGCCCACCTTCCTCTTTAAATCTTCTTAAAAATGCAGGGCTACCTACTTCTCTGGGAGCTGGAACATCCAATCTGGTTTCTGCTGGAGCTTTAACCGCAATAACAATTTGTTCATGGAAGGCTTGGATGCTATGAATATCTTGATATGTCACATATGCTAGTGTGAAAATCAGTCAAGGATCTCTAAGCAGCATGCTACTTATTTGGAAATAATTTATCTCTTATGATACATGAATGCAAGTGTCAGGCTTGAATATCTTTAAATTTTTATGGGATATAAACTCACAATTAAGGAAAGCAGTCTGTAAAAAACAATTTCTTATATAATTCTTAGTATTTCACGAACAATTCTTAAGATTTTAGTGTTTTATAATATTTATAATTCAACTTAAAGAGTTGCTTTAAATTGTACCATTGTGATTATGATGACAATTTCTGGAGAAAAATATTAATAAACTGTGCATTCGTAACACAAACACAACTCATGAAGGTATTCAAATCTCCCCTCCCCCACCTCCACTCTCTATTCATTGCTAGATCTTACTATGAGAACCTTTGGGAAAAAATATTCAGAGTTTTGGTGAGAACCTCCTAAAATGCAAGGTAGAAAAAAATCTATAAAAAGTAGAAGCACCTTAGAGAATAAGTTCAGGACTATCACATACTCATGGGATTGCCTTCTCCAAAATTATTTTCCAACTCACTACCTGAATTTTTTTCATCTTGTTTTACTATTACCTGAAATTTTACCAATTATGTGATTTATTGGGTTGCCCCAGCTTTCTTTTTTACTCCGCAGACATTGTGATTGAATGTAGTAATGTCAGCATTTACTTTTTTTCTAACAACTGTACTATGGAAATAGGTAGCAGTTTTGACTGATATAGACTTTAAGTAAATTTTAAGCATGGAACAGCTCAGAACCAGTGACACCTCAAAAAGGTACAGCAAGGGGAACAGGTCTCTCCAGAAGACCCAGGAGAACATCAGGAGAAGTACCAAAGACAAGTCCCCCCGTCTGGTCCCAGACACTGAGCTTAAGAGCAGTACTGACATTCAGCTCTGTTAGGCTTTGTGGACTAGAATGGCAGTTTCAGTACCATTACAACAGCAATTCATTGTTTCAGAAATAAAGTTTAGTTAACAAATTAGGGAAAACACGAATTTCAAAAAAGCCAACAAACATTTTACCATCTTTATAGTATTCAGGCTACAAAAACAAACAAGAATGCTCCACTATTTTAATTGTAAATGCAAATGTTAACTTTGGTGCCTTCCTGCACTACTTAGGTCATGGTGCAGCATTTAATCTGAGCAAATGTCACACCAAGCAGCTAAAGGCAATGATGTGTTATCTGTGTATGTTTGAGCCTATACTAATAAATCTTTACTTCCTTTCACTTCTAAGGGTCTAATTTTGTATCTTAAATAAATTAATTAAATCCCCAAGCTGATCCTACTATTTAAAGTAACCTGCTTTGGAAGGAGAAATTTTTTAAAAAGGTACAGAGTTAAAGGATATCTTTCATTTTCTTTGTCATCTGTTAACTCGAACAATTGCTGAGCACAATCCTTAATTAACTCATCCAGAGCATCTTCCATCGCTGATAAGTCAGAAAGTTCCTCCTGTAGCTTCTTCTGTTGGGGCACTGCTCCAAAATTGCTAAGATCAGATCCTCTTTAAAAGAAAAGTATTAAAGAAAAAGACCATCATCAAAAGCATCTAGGAGATTACAGAATCACACAAGTTAGGTTACTGGACTTTCTCCAAGTGTTTACATAAGGTGTCTCCCACAGCGACAGATAAAAACTAGGTACTTCAACTTCACTCCTGCCCTCCCATCATTCTAGATACCCATTATTCTTCCTGCACATTAACTGGTTTCTGTCCCCATTTCTAGTCCCTTACACAGGAGCTTTAAAAAATATATCATAACTCTATAGAAATTAATAGTAGGAGGAAAAGCTAAATGAAGTTTAATGAGCTGAAGAGTCAATAATACCCAGTTTAAGCCCCAGCTCTACGATTTAACAGCATAACTTTTGACAAGTTATAATCTTTTAGTCCCTTAGTTTCTACATATGAAAAACAGAAAATTTGCTAAATGATAGTTCCTCTGCTAAATTCCTTAAGTGTGTATTTTTCTCTACTGTGCATATTCTATCTGGTTCTATCTGAATATAATGATTAATTTTTCTCAAAAGATACATTTTTTTTAGTTATCACTGTCTACCACAATATGATATAACCTGAGCAACAACCGATATTCATTTTTTTCCTTCACTCTTTATGGAAAATAAAGAGGGAAAAGGTTGTTATCACTTTATCTTTTGCTTGCTAGTTTTCAAACCTGATTCCAATTAGTGATTCAGAATGCAATCGGATATTAACCCCTAAAGTGTTGCTTCAAGTTATTTAGTAAACATGTTCAAATAATAACTCAGGGGCCGGCCCTATGGCTTAGCAGTTAAGTGTGCGCGTTCCACTACTGGCGGCCTGGGTTCAGATCCTGGGTGCGCACTGATGCACTGCTGGTCTGGCCATGCTGAGGCGGCATGCCACATACAGCAACTAGAAGGATGTGCAATTATGACATACAACTATCTACTGGGGCTTTGGGGAGAAAAAGGGTAGAAAGGAGGAGGATTGGCAATAGATGTTAGCTCAGGGCTGGTATTCCTCAGCAAAAAGAGGAGGATTGGCATGGATGTTAGCTCAGGGCTGATCTTCCTCAAAAAAATAATAATAATAATTCAATCTGCACTTCCATACTATTGAAGAAACAACCTCCTCTCTGAACTACTTTTCTCTCTGAACTACTTTTCTCTAATAACTAAGTTAATTACTTAAAGTCATTTTATGATCTTTGTTGGTAGATTTTTCATTTGCCTGAAAGGTCTCCATATTCTCACGTGCTGGAACTGTTTCTCACTGATCCAAAATACACACCTATGGTAAGTATAACAGCTTTCTTCTTATGTGCATGCACACACACCCCTGTATCTACATCATAACCTCCTTCCATGGATCCTAATCCTAATCACGTGTTAAGTCTTTAGCAATTGCCTTTTAGACAGTAAGTCTGATTTTTTCCCCAGTGAGGGCAGTTTCAGAGTGTGATCACAGCCTATCCGCATCACAATCACGTGGGGTCCTTGTTAAGCAAGTAGATTCCTGCCTTCTCCCAGAAAAACTGAATTACAACCTCTGGGCTCGAGGCCTCTAAGTGTTTACCACAGGACCATGCAAGAACCACTGTTCTACACCCTTACCTGATTTCCCCCCATATCAATAATCAATTGGAACTGAGGAAATACTTTTTAAAAAATCTCCTATACAATCAGATGTCCCCTTCTTATGATCTTGAAAAGTGAAATCTTAAAACTAATCATTATTCCATTTAACTTTTCCATAACGTTGGAATGATATTCTATGTCTACGGCTCTTATTTAGTCCTAAGTAGAAAAAAATATCTATGTACCTTGTGGGATAATGTAAAAATCTTTATAAAATCCTTTTCTAACAAGAAGTCACATCTTACTTTGTTTTATATTTTCAAAACACTACTAATATCTAGTTTATTTTAAGCATGGTATTGTCACTTAATGAGAAGGAAAAAAAAGCCATAAAAAGTTGGGAACCAACTCACATCCACCGAATATGGTTCTTGGACTTTTTCTCGACCAGGTCGATACCGTCTAAGACGTTGGTGATGTCGTACACTCGTCGTTTCCGTACTCCCAGTTTTGTTGCAACCTTGTTTAAGTCAAGAATACCCCCAGGAGCAGATCTGACAAGATCCATAAATTTTCGAGTTAAATAAACCAGTGATACATCAAAACGAGGTCTCTTCACTTTTAGAGCTTCTGGGAAACAAAACAAACACATTTGTAAAATTCTAAATAGCATTTTTTTCTCAACTCATGAAAAAAAATCATTTATTTCCTTCTGATCAGTAAGCACAGACATTAACAAATTCTACACACTGACCAAATCATAGCTCATTTTTATGAAACAGATTTCTCAAACTGGATAAAAATTCATTAGCCTATCCCAGGTAAACAAGGGCTTTAGACTTAGAGGAGTATATGAAATATGCAACCAATTTCCACCGAACATGTGAATTTTTAGAAGTTTACTGCATTTTATCAGACAAACGTGGTGAGTCTGCATTTGTATCCACACCACTCTCAGGAACAGGCTTAGAAATGATTTTTAAAATTAAATTTCTCTTTTAGTCTTCAAGTTAAGAAATTCTTTATAAAGCAAAAGCAAAGACTTGGCTTTTTTTTTTTTTTTTTCAAGGTTTCTATACATGTAGTGTAACCCTGTCTGATGAAGTTTTTGAAAGAGCTCAAATTAGTCATCTATTAGGACAATTATGACAGACCTTGAGGAAAAGTGGCATATCTATTTTTAAAAACATTCACTACCCTATATTAACTTAACAAATAAGCAAATGAAGGGGTAAAAAAATCGCTTTAATTCCCTTATTCACTCACCTACACTGATGATTTTGGTTTTTCATACACACTAACCCCTCCACACACATACACACACGTGTCAATATATACATATAGTTTCTAAAAACAAAATAGGAACATACTATTTTTAACATGCTATTTTTAACTCAACACTGTGAACATCCTGACTTGTCAACAAATGTATTTCTCCTAAGGATGTAATGTATAACACAATGACTATAGTTAACACTGCTGTATGACATATAGGAAAGTTGTTAAGAGCAGATCCTAAGAGTTCTCATCTCAAGTAGAAATTTTTTTTCTTTTCTTTTTATTGTATTTATATGAGATGATGTATGTTAACCAAACCTATTGTGGTAATCATTTCACGATATATGTAAATCAAACATGTATATAACATATGTATGTAACATAAATCAAACATATATGTAAATCATACTGTACACCTTACAGTGATGTTGTCTATTATTTCTCAATAAAACTGGAAAAAAATGTACTTCAACATTATTCTTAATGGCTGCATAATTTATTTAACTGCATGAAATATTTGCTAACTTATCCCAATACTGAAAATTCAGATTGTCTCCAACTTTCTGATCTTGCACAATACTTCAGTGAATCTCCTTGTAGCTAAACTTTTGTATGCATCTTTAAATGTTTCCTATAGATAAGTTCCAAGGTGTGGAATTGCCGAGTAAAAGGGTATTTCTAAGGAATTTTGATATGTACTGCTAAATCTGCTATCCGGTTGTGGATTCCATCCATTTATGCAGAGTATGAGGGCCTCATCAGATGCCTTGCCAGAACTGAGTATTATCATTCTTTTTCATCTTTCCCAATTTGATACTTAAAAAAAAGTTCTTATAGTTTGGTGTGCAGAGGAAACAACTGTACAAATAACTTAGCTGTCCTTCGGGTGTGGAGTATACAATTTCTCTTTTTCTTTATTTCCACAGCATACCACAGTTAGTAAGCTTCAAAAGAAATATTCAGCGGCCGGCTCGGTGGCGTAGTGGTTAAGTGTGTGCACTTCGCTGCTGGCGGCCCGGGGTTCGGATCCCGGGCACGCACCGACACACTGCTTGTCAGGCCATGCTGTGGCGGCGTCCCATATAAAGTGGAGGAAGATGGGCACAGATGTTAGCTCAGGGCCAGTCTTCCTCAGCAAAAAGAGGAGGATTGGCATGGATGTTAGCTCAGGGCTGATCTTCCTCTCACACACACACTAAATAAATAAATAAAATAAAAAAAAAAAAGAAATATTCATCCTATCTTCAATCAGAAATGCCCTTATCCAGAACCTCTACAATGTCATATTCAGTTTAAAAACCACTGGTGGTTACTCCAAGAACAAAAGTACATATTTTATAACATAAACGTCTTCTCTGTAGAGACTACTCCTATACTTAAGATTAAACAGGGTTAAATAGGAATTAAATTTTTTTTTTTAATTGGAAGTAGAACGTCACAATTCTACAATAAACCTTGGAAGATTACAAATGAGAAATTCTAACTTTAAAAAGCATACATTTACTTATACTAAATTACTAACAAGACATGGTCTTATAAGCTCAGGATAAGTATATTCCTACCATGTTAGTCATTTTATAAAGAACATTTTATAATTGAACACCTCTAACATGACAGTTGCTGAAGGGATATAAATGTGACTGAAAAGGTCTTCAAACTGAAGGCATTCCAGAGTCTAGTGAGGAGCTCTACTACAGTATTTGAGATAAGAGCTAAGGGAGGTATTCAAAGTTACACGAGAGATGAAATAAAACCGTAACTGGAGTGGGAAGCGGGGAAGGCCTCGAATAGGAACGGCATACAGCAAGGCGAATAGGAAGGTGTTCTCCCACTCTAACGGAGAGCCAGGCGCTTCAGTGAGGCAGAGGACACACGTCGAAAGACAAAGCAGCATTTGAGAACGCGGTGTATTTAGGGAATCCACAGCTGGTATAGCTTTAGCAATCGGTGAGGGCAGAAGGGCTGGAAGAGGAGGCTGCAAAGTGAAGCAAGGAACACCTTTCTAGGACCTTGTCTGTCTATCCATCTCCACTGCCTTCTTTTAAGGTTATGAGACGGCTTTTAAATTTAACACAAATAAGTAAAACCAAATAAATGAGGAGTCAGGGTTTTCTCTAGATGTAATAGAGCACCACTGAAGAATTTTAGGTTGAGTGATATCATAACCCATTTCTGTATTAGAAAAACCCCACTGGCAGCAGAAGGAAAGCGGTAGGGTGTGGAAGAGCCTGGAAGTGAACAACCTACATAGGAGGCTGTCCCCCTACTTTAGTTTGGGGGAGTGGGAACCTCCCCGAGAAGCAGCAGTCTCACACAGCGGTTAAGACTGTGGCCTCAAGTCAGAGAGGCGTGGGGCGGAATCCTCACTGTGCAAGTTCCTTCACCTCTGTGGGCCTCAGTGTACTCGTGTATGAAATACGAATCATCATCCATACCTGTATCGTGAAGGGTTGCTGTGATTAATCCACACAAAGAGCTCAGCATGGGGCCAGGCACTGTACGAGCTCAATAAACATTAGACAACACTGTAAGTCGGTGGGTGGGACAGGCGAAGGAAACACTTCCAAGGTAAAACTGACCAAACTTGGGGACCAGCTGTGGGTGAGACTGTGGCCGGGGCCAACGAGCAATTAAGGGTTGACAGCAAGATTTATACATGGGCATCTATGCACTATCTATCCACTGAGATTAGGACCAAATTAAGGGTGGGCAATCTATCATAACAACTTCCAGAAGGACAGGGAAGTGGAGCACTGAGATGCCATCTCCTTTGACTGACTGAACACTGACCCACAGCAGGGGTGGGAGGGAAGAGCAAAGGGAGTGAAAGGAAGCCAGGAGGGCAGGCTGCCCTCAGCTTGTCCCAAACCGCCTTCCGTCCCGCTGAGAGGAACAAGTACTGCTCTCACAGAACCCTGTGGGAATATCCCCAAACACAGACCGTTCTATTTTAAAAATGATGTTTCCAAAGCAGCAGAGAATAAACTGGCATTTGTGCACATTATTCAGCCCAGAACCTCAGTTTTCGCTGAAATTCCAAGCTTTACATTTCAGTGTACAAATAAAACATGTTAAGTTTTTCATCAACTCACATGCATTTAAAATAAATCATTTAAATCATATGAAGTTCAAACTACAAAACCTAAAACCTATTCGGGAATCAACTTACTTCTCATGGACACATATTGCACATTATCTTCTAAATTAATCCTTATTTTTGATGGCTGCAAAAAGAAGATACAGAAATTTAACTTAATAATTTAAAAACAACGATGTAAATGAACAGCATTTTACTGGATAATATAAAGGTTTTTTTTTTTTTACCCTGGGGTAATAATTTGGGTGTGACAAAGGCAGAGCTTCTTCCAAACTATATCTACTCTTTAACTGTAATCACATCTGACAATGTTCATAGATTTGAATTTCTAAAACTGCACGGTCTTCCACAAGTATGGAAGAAGCAGATAAAGAGAGAAAGGGGCAGAGGGAGAAAGGAATGGTGAGGGAGGGAGGAAATATGAATATGAGAATTTATTACTGAACAGACATTAATTTATTGACTACATCAGGTACTGAGGATAAAAAGGAATACAAAGATGATTAGGCACCAACCCTGACTCTGGAAAGCTCAGAAGAGGTATAAGATATGTCTGAATTAACAAATGCTCACCTCTTGCTATTCAAGTGTAAGTGGCTCCAAAACATTTGCTCACAAACTTTCACAGGCAGCCATGCACTCCCCAAACCTTTAGATACAGCCGTGTAAACAGAAACCCACATTAGCCACATGCTTAGAATGAAGTACAAAATTGGCTGCAGAGTATATCCAACAGGAGTACTATGGATGTACCCAGAGAGGGAAATCACAGACGGATTCACAGGGAAGGTGATCCCCAGCTGAGCCTTGAAGGACAAGCCAGATTTTGCCTAAATCTGTAGGAGCTTTGGGAGGGAGGGAGAGAAAAGATAGGATTCCTGGTGCAGGAAATGAAATGAACAAAGGTATGAAAATATAAATTGCATGGCCCCTTTTGAGAAACCATCTGTGTGGCCAGAGTGAAACTAACTTGATACTGAAGCTGGAAGGGCAGGCTAGCACCGTGTTCAACCTGGAGGACATGAAAGTCACACTAAGGAGTTTGGACTTCATGTTATAACCAGCGCAGAACCACCAGATTTCTAAACAAGAACATGACATACTCAAGCTCCTGATCTAGGAATATAAGGATGGTAGCAATGCGGCAAAGAGAGTGTGGCATGGGGAAGCCTGAAGGCAAGGGGAAAGCTAAGAAGCTCTTTGTTTATCTCTGTGTCACAAATTCTTGGCACAATGATTTCCGTTCATCTATGACAAGATGATACCATCTATTAGCAAGTCAACTTGATGTGGAATAATTCCACTGAAATAGAATTCTGCTGTAAAATTACTTTAGTTGTTAGAATTTAAAGGAAAATGAAGACCTGCTGGGGTGGCAAAACCAGAGTTGGGAATGCCTGCCTTGGGGGCAGGAACGAGGCCTGGCTAGCTCTCTTAAACAGTGCTGACAACAGTGACTTACAAACACGGCATCTAACAGCGAAGCACTGAAGGGCAATCCTACTCAAGTCAAACATCAGACGAATATGACAACTGTCATTGCTATTTTTACATTTAACCCTCCTGCTAATACAGTATGAGACAGTCTAACTATTGTAGCAAAATTCTTAAATTAATAAAATCTATCCTTATCACACTAATTTGAAACATACATAAACAAATATTCTAAATTGCTATATATACTAAGGTCTGTTTATGAGTTTTCTATTCCACCCATGATCTTTTACTTACGTATCTGTAGCATACTGCTTTAATTACTATAATGTTAGAATAAATTTTACTATCGTTAGTGCAGTCCTGAGAATGCATGCAGAAAGGGTTAACACAGCAGAGCTCTTAGGTGCCTTGCTGCAAAAAGGCTTCTGCTCTTAATTTAGAGTAGTAGGGCCCGTCCCACTTAATGGTTTCCACATAGGCTGCCTCACTGTCTGCTCTCCACCTACTCCAGAAGGGCACCTTTTCTACTCCATGCCCCCTCCCTCTTGTCTCCTCATCTAGACCATTGCATTCACAGGCTGGCACAGGAATAATATCTCAATTAGGCATAACAACGTGAGAAAGTATGACTTTCTTTTCCTCACACTCTTTGCTGTAAATGCAGTTGCACTACATATCGACTACATTGAGATCTGCGGGAAAACAGACTCCGACAGCATCTATTCATTGTTTTCGCCTTTGAATGTGAAAACACTCTCGCTTTACCTTGGAGAAATCGCAATAGTATCATGGCCTCTCAGGGACAGACATCTCAATATGCACAAATCCTACACGTCTGACAATTCTGGAGATTTCCAAAGTGCCCAGAGCAATGACACATTCATCTCCTTTATATTCAAAATAGTTCTGGCTTAAGACTGGGTTCAGGACTACCAATCATGTGACCAATTAGATGCTGGGAGATCCTGACCACTATGTAACACAGTGTAGTGATATAACTTTACTGCCCATTTTCCAAGCTATTGCAAAGATTAAATGAGAAATTTTGTAAGCAAGCACAGAAGACTACCCTTCTTCTTTTCCTTTTTGAAGCAGAACAGTCCCTGGCACATTCAGGCACCTGGTTAATATTTGTTACACTAACGAATGGAGGCTGAAATAGTACCTTGTCACAGATGACTTCAAAAGATAAATAACTTAGAACTACAAAACGACAAGTATTTACAGACACAAGGACACAGGGTAAAGACTCCCTCTCTGGTACACCATTAATAAGAATCACTGAAAGAATAAGAAGCCTCATTTTCTGTTTTTTAACACAACATCTATCATCTGGATAGATTCCGCCTGCCAATCCCAGCAAACCTTTCCAGCTACTCTAACTTTGGTGAACTGCACTCCACAGATAGGCTAGGAGCTTTTAGTGGCTTTAAAATCAGAATAAATGTTTCCTCACACAAAAGTTCCTGAACTATTAAAAAACATTGGCCTGAGTCATTTAGGTCCCTCAGATGACCGCAGTGCACCCTGCCCCTGGAGGGACACTGATGAGGCCCTTGTATAGAGGAGGAAACGGAGACAGGAGATGGAATGGAGAGGGGCTCCCACTCAGGAAGAGGAACAAGTGAGGCTCCTCCTAACAGGAGACTGATCATATGAGCTCCTTTCAGGGATAAACCCCCCCCCTTTTTTTGAGGAAGACTGGCCCTGAGCTAACATCTGTTGCCAATCTTCCTCTTTTTTTTTTCTTTTTTCTCCCCAAAGCCCCAGTATATAGTTGTATATCCTACTTGTAGGTCCTTCTAGTTCTTCTATGTGGGATGCCGCCTCAGCATGGTTTGATGAGCAGTGAGGAGGTCTGCCCCCAGGATCCTAACTGGTGAACCCTGAGCTGCGGAAGCGGAACACGCGAACTTAACCACTACGCCACCAGGCCGGACCCCCATTTTCTTGTTCCCTTTAAATAATCTCAGCCTTCACAAAAGGTGCAGAAATAGTACTAAGAATTGCCACATACCCTTCACTCAAATCCCCCAAATGTTAATGTTTTACTACATTTGATTGATCAGTTTTTCTCTATACACACAAATGCAATTTTTTTCCTGAATCATTTGAAGTAAACTGCAGACCCCTACATAATTTAGTGTGTATCTCAAGTACATTCTCTTATACAACCACAGTATAATTACCAAAAAGTCTGTCCAAGACCAAGCAGTCTTGAAAAAGACTGTCAGTAGAAATCTGGACTTTGAGGACATTGCCAGTGAGGGTTCAAAAGGGAGGGAGGAACGTGTTAGAAACTGGAAGAAGGGGGATCTTCGTCATGCTAAGACAGAGCACTCGGCAACACTGGCAAGTGCGGTTATGTGGAAAGTAGAAGGTGTTAACGACTTGGGTGATCTAATGAAGATTTCCACTCACGTGTTGATGGTGGCACCTGGTTTCCTCTTGCAGCTCACAGTAAAACATAAGAGAAACTGAGGAAAGGACTTAATGGCTTTAAAAGTTCTAAGCCTCTCTAGAAGCTAAAAATTAAGAAATGACTTCTGAGAAAGACCAAATCAAAAGCACTGCCACAAGAACACAATCAACACGATCTAGAGATGAAGGTGAGGGTGTGACCATACAACTTTTGGTTAAGGTACCTCAGAGTACTATTCAGTCACACCAAAAGCCCTAGAAAGAGATTAAGGATGAGCCTCACGGATTCTCCCAATCTAATGACAGGGCCTCTAGGAAGCTTCTGGGCACTGTGTTTCAGCCATCAGCAGGAGCCCAAGGTAGAGAAGGGTTTATTTTGAAGAAATCTGTGGGCAGGACTCTTGTCTACTGAGTGAACCACAAGAGGTCCACACAGCTTTTGAGAGAATTATACCAGCAAAAACACTGCCAGCTTGGACTAAAAGGGACAGAGACAGTTCAACCTGAAAAGAGGCCACTGGATACCCAAAATTCTCCTGACAGGCAGCAGGCTGAAAAAATTACTCAGCGACAACTAGGTATTACCTTTCACGAAAAAGAGACTCAGACGGTGGAACCAAGAGCCCAGAGGGTAGAGCTGAGAGCGTAGAGAATTATTCTCAGGTCGGAGCCCTAATAAAGAAATTTCCAACATTTACCAGGCTGGATGTCAGAACTGGACCAGGTACTCCTCAGTGACTCCCATCTTCCTTTATGAACAGGAATGTCTAGTGCAGTTATCTTACGTCTGCACCACTAGTGTATGCTGTAAGCTGGGTGTGTGGGGGTCAGATAACCCGTCTTTTTACTTTCGCAGGCCTACAGATCTGGAGTAACTGTACTTGAGGAGCTGTACTTAAAGAACTACACCTGAGGAGCCTGGATTCTTTATTCTAAGAGTACAAAATCTGCTGAGGCTCAGATTAGGCCAATAGGTGCCTTTTCAAAGAGGTTCCTATGCAGGACACTTATTTTTTACCTTTTCAGCATCTTTATGATGGCAGTCCTCAGAGGAATGCTCTCTCAAATTTCTACGGAACTAACCTGCCCAGGTGCCAGCACAGATGCTGCTGCTTCTAGTTCTGGCAACCCACCACTGTGGGGGGCACTGTCCAAGTTCCTATTCCTTCAAGGCAGTCTCACTGAGAGGTTACTCTCAGATAATTTCCCCGAGGGGATGCCAAGGGAGAGTCTAGCTGCAGTCAAACCTCAAAAGACTGGACTACCTGGACTACCAGAAACTGGAAAGTTTCTTACCTAAGAAACTTTCCCTTCCAATCCTCGAACTGTTTGTGTCTTGGCTGGGAAATGAATGGAGAAGGCAGAGGCCTCCAAACTGAAAATCACCAAGGATGATCTCAGTGTACACGGCTTTCCAGGAACCAGCAGCAGATGGGCAAGTCAGCACATTACAAGTTATCTTACTACTGCTCCAACTGCCACATCTGAAGACTTATACTTTTAAATTTGAGCTCTCAAGGAGTAAGAAAAGAATAAAAGGTGAGTTCTAGGGACTAAAATCTTAAGCAATGCCTCTAAATTGGTTAAAAATTCTTCTACACAGAATCTTCTTTGTACCAACTGCCTATTTGGGGGAGTAATATCCCTTTAAGAGCTCTTTGGAAATACACCTTTCTCCAGGGTGAATGCATTCTCCTCACTCGTTCAAATTTTATTTTTAAATATGCAAAGTTCCACCTCCAACCAATACTATTTTCTCCCTTCTCAAAATTCCAGACAGTTTTCAAGCCATTTACCCAGAGAATATCACTCAGTCAGATACATAACTAATCTCTGCATAGCAATACACAGTTTATTAAAAACTTTCAGTTATTAGCCAATTAAAAAACACTGAGATAGGTGTCAAATCACCATTTTACAGGAAGGAAAATAAACACTCATACACTCAAACATTTACAGAGCACCTACTTCATTCATTCAATAACTATTTACCAAATCTTTTTGTGAGAGCCACCAAACGTGCTGTGGATTAAAAAATCAAATGAACAGAGTCACTGCACTCAGGGACTTAAGAGCCACACATTGCAAAGAGCAAGTAAGTAAGCACAGGGCGCTTTGGGAGCACAAAAGGAGTGCCTAACCCAGTCTTGACAGGCCAGAAGTCTCCAGACCACTGACCCATAAATCTAGACCTGAAGAACCATGGGAGGTAACAGGAAAAAGTGTGTTAAAAAAAAAAAAAAAAAAAAAAAGGCTCTTTTGATAGGGGGAGTGTGGATATGTAGGGGTACAAAAGAATAGGGAAATATGGAAAATTCAGCAACCATAAGCAGTTCAGGAAAGATAAACCCAGGGGCTGGATTATATTAAGAAGTTTCTACTCCATCCTGAGAGCACTGGGAACCATGATAGATTCTTTAAGCCAAATGACATGATCAGAAATATGCTTTAAAAAGACCATTATGGTTAGTTACTATGTGGAGAATATACAGAAAAGTTGGGGGCAAGGCCAGAAGCAGCAAAACTGGTTAGGAAGACATTGCAACAACGCAAAAGACAGATGATGTTTACAAGTGGCAAGTATTGGTGATTAATTTTAATCCGATTGGGAAGCGGGAGGGGGTCAGTTTGAAAAAAGGAAAAGGCAAGGATGATGCTTAGGATACTAGCTTGGGCAATATGGTGGGTGTGGTACCATTTATTAAGAAAGGTGACAGCAAAGTTGTTGCTTGCTTAGGCAAAACGAAAACGAACTCAATTTTGGATATACGAGTTTGAAATCTAAGTAGAGATGTCTGGCAGACAGCTGGAAAGCTCTGAGCTGGATTTACAGATTTGGGAATTATCATGACATGGTAACTGAACATACCACAGTGGATAAGAATATCTAAGACTTCAAGGGATGTGTGTATCTTCTGATATTAAATACAAAATTAAGTGTTTTTTCCATAGTGAGAATTCAGAGCTTTTATCAAATTCTCAAAGATTAACAACACCAATACAGATGGCACCAATATATGTAAAGGGTAACAGAAGTCATGAGAGTGGTGAACGGCATCCCACATGAAGAATGGGTAGAGGTTAGAAGAGACCCCAGGATGACATCAACAGGTAAGGAATGGAAAGAGTTTGCAAAAGAGCACAGGAGAGGCCAGACCAGTAGACGGCGCATCAAGAGTATGTGGTGTCAGAGAAGCCATTCAAGGGCAAGGGTTTCCAAAAAGAGTGAGCAGTCAATCATGTCAAAACTACAGAGATAAGGAGTGAAACATCTGCTAGAATGGACAAGGTTCTGGGGACCTTGGTTAGAACACTCTTACAGCTGTGCTGAGGGCAGAGGTCCCCTGGCAGTGGGTCATGGTCATAAGGAGAGGTGAGCAAGTGGACACAGTGAGTGCAAACAATTTTTTCAAAGGTTGGCTGTGAAGGGGTGGAGATAGAGATACAGTAGGAAGAGATACAGTAGACTGAAGGGCATCAGGAACTAAGGGAGAGATCTTTTAAGACGGGGATGGATTTAGGATGCAGTTTAAGTAGTCAAGAATTTATCATTTGGAGCCACACTAACTAAATCCAGGCTTTTCTGCATACTATCTAACCACAGGCAAGCCACTTAAGATCTCCAAGTCTATTCTGGCAACTGTCAAACAACAATCATCATCTCTTAGGACTGCAGCTGAGGAGTTAAATTAGATAAGGCTCAAACTATTTTTGAGCACTGAGTTCCCATGAAGACTGGCCATACTGACTTCGGTAAAAGTTTAGTTACTAGCTATGGGGGAAAAACCAGCAAAGAAGTTGAAAATATGGGGAGAAATGGAAAATGACGGCTTCATCAAGAGCCCTACAAGCCAAGGAGAATCTACTGCATCTGTCTAGAGCAAGAATAGGGGAAATTACCGGGCCGGCCCGGTGCCGTCGCGGTTAGATTCGCCGCTCAGCTTTGGCGGCCCCGGGTGCGCTGGTTCGGATCCTGAGCGCGGACCTACTCACCCCGCATCAAACCGTGCTGAGGCGGCATCCCATACAGAGCAACTAGAAGGACAACTATGATGTGCAACTATCTACTGGGGCTTTGGGGAGAAAAAAGGAAAAAAAAAAAAGGAGGAAGACTGGCAACAGATGTTAGCTCAGGGCCAATCTTCCTCCAAACAAAAAAAAAGAATTGGAGAAATTAACCTTTTGCAGAAGGGAGCCCACTCTCCCTTCCATATTCTCTGTCAGACAGGACTGAAGACAATCTGCTGAACCGGGAGCTGTGGGGCGGGAAACGCGAGGTGTGGACAAGGTTTTAAATGGCTGCAATCAAGTAGGAGAATAGGAGAGGAGGTCGCAGGGAAGAAGACACGATAGCTTGCAGAGACACACTGAGGGGCCAGGGGAAGTAGGAACACACGCTCTTCTAACGCAAAGCTGGGCAATTTTCTCCAGCAGGGCTCTGCAGCCCCGAGAGAAAAGCCAAGGAGGCTGACAGCACATTTGCGAACAGGTGTGGAAAGTAGGAGGCGAGAGTCGAGCGAACGGCCAGTCGGGCTCACAGCACAGGCTGGGCAGCGCGGGAGCCGGGAGCCCGAGGAGCAGCCAGGGGCCCGGCGCAGGGGGAGCTCACGACGCGGACGACGTCAGCGCGGCCGCCCCGCGGAGAAGAGGCGGCGGCCGGGCTCAGACGCACCCCGCGCCGCGCCAGGGCCCGGGCGCTCCGGACTCGGGCCGTCCCCGGGGCTTACCAGCAGGCCCTCCACGTTGATGGGGTCTCGGCAGCGGCGGCGCACCGTCTCCTCCGCCGGGTCCACGAGCAGGCTGGGCAGCTTCCGCGCCGGCCGCTGCTGACTCATGCTGCCCAGCCGGCCGCCCCGGCCCTCGCACCCTGCGCGCTCTCCCGCCTTCTCCCGCTCCGGTCGGGCGCCGCCCCCAACACGCCGGTTCCCGGGGGCCAAGCGCGAACGGGGCCCGTGGCCTGCTCAGAGGCGCCGCCTGGCCAGGCCGGCCCGCGGACGAACCCGCCACTGCCCCACGACCCCGGGAGCTCCAACACAGGCGGGAGGGGAGCAGGGTGACCCAGGGCCCTCAGGACGCCAGGCCCGCCATCTTCCCGCATGCGCAGTGCGCCGCCCCCAATGCGCATGCCTGCTGCTGCCGGGACGCTCCCACGCATTGGTGCTCTCCCGGCGGCCGGAGCCCAGGAAACCCCGGACGGCGGAATCCGCGGAGAGGATGGCGACCGAGAAGGAAGAGGTGGAGCAGGCATTCCTGCGGAAGGGAACGGCGCGAGAGAAAAGAGGCAGCCGGGAAAACGCCCTTGTCCCCTCGGGATTCGCTGCACTGATGACACTAATTACTGAAAGTTCTGAGTGCGCGTGGATGTTAACTTATTCTTGAACTCCCCCCGCACATCTCGGGCGCTCGCCCAGTGTTGATGCTTAGTAAATGTCCGTACCCAAACCGTTGTGGAATTGTTTTCTCCTATGCTGCTTTTTTTTTCTTCCTTCCTTTCTTTTTCGTTTGATAAATGAATTATTGATTACCTGCCATGTCAGATATTGTGGTGGGCACAGGAGATACTCATTTGAATTTGGCACAGACTCCATCTCAAATTCCAGTGGAAGAGACGGATGAATCGAACATTTTAAGCTGGAGCCAGAAGGTGTGTTTTCAAATCCTGGCTCCCTCTACTTATAAGTTACAAGACCTTAAGTAAGTTACTTAATCACTCTGTGCCTCAGTTTCCTCATCTGTTAGATAGGACTAATGACAATCCTTACCTCATAAGGTTGTTGTGAGGATTAAATGAATTAATGAATATAGATTACTTAGAACAGGGACCAGCTCATGTTTGGAATAAAAAAACAGAATGTGGTAAGTACAGGGTGGAGGGCAGCAACTGAGCCAGGTGGTTAGACTAGGGGCTTCTCCCCAGCTTGAGGTGGACCAGGGAAGGTTTCCGGAGGAAGTTGACTCCCTATTAGACTACATATAAACTTCTTGAGGTCAGAGCCTTTGTCTAATCTTTGTATCTCCGGCATCTAGCACAGTGCCTGGGGGTGAGAGCTCAGTAAATGTTTGTAAATGAATGACTTGAAATAAAGGATAACCTAGGGGAAGTCTCCAGAAGGCTGAATTTTGTTGCACAATGGAGAATTTCCCAAAGCGGTTAAAAGACATCTTTACCAACCGGAGTCCCTGAAGCTCTGGAGAGCAGAAATGGCTGTTTTTAATAAATAAGACATAGTCCAGCATTTGCTATAGGTTTGGCATTCTGCTAAATGTTCTGCATACATTTTCTCATGTAAATCTTGTAACTGAAAGAAAGGTGTTTTTCTGCCTAATTTACAGATCAGGAAAATGAAGATTAGCAAGATTACAAAAATTATCTGAGGTCCTGAGGGGGCAGTGGGAGAGGCAGGATTTGACTCCACAGCTGATTAATTTGGTATGCTGATCCTTGAGAAGATTCTTGAAGGGTGACTAAGAGTTTCCTCAGCCAGAGATGGGGTGGAGTGAGTGAGAGTGGGCTGCGGGTCAGGGTGAGAGGCACTCTAGGCTCAAGACAGAGCATGAGCCAGCTGTGGAGAGTCAGGGCGATGACACAGCCTTCCAGACTGTTATAATACCTGTGACTTGGCTTTACCCTGAGACGTAATCATTTGCACATTTTTGGAGCGTGTGCCTGGCAGTAGAGTCGGTGATGAGGGGAAAACTAAATCCGATGGGGACCTTACCTTGTGCTCCAGCATCCCCCAGCCCGGTGGAGACACATAACCAGGCGCATAAGTACTAATTTAGAATGTGTATAACATGCTATGGGAGCACAGAGGAGGAAGAAAATAAATAACTGAATTTTGCATAAATCACAGGTGCTTTTTCCCATATCTCCCTGTGAGGTAGATATTTCTAGAATACAGATGAGGATACAGAGGCTCAGAGAGGCTCAAGGCCACCTGGGGACTCAAATGCAGGACTTCAGCCACCAAATCCTTTGCTTTGTCCTCCATGCTCTACAGTGGTACAGACACAGTTCCCAGCACAGAAAATCTAGTATTTCCCATTTCCCAGTCCTGTTTTTATGTGTGCCTCCTGGGGCAAAATGGCGCTAGGGCAGAATGAGGTATGGCTCTTGGGACTTGAAAATTAGGGCCGAAATATAGGCCAAGTGCACACGTGTGCCTGCGGAATGCAGAGAGGCCTTACCAGTCACAGGATGTTTTACCTTCCTCCTATGGTAAAATTTCCTCCCCAGAAGTCTGTGAGGAAATGACCATGTCCAATAGGACTTCCTGCAATAATGGAAACATTCTGTGCTGTCCAGTATGGTAGCCACTAGCCCCATGTGGCTGTTGAGCACTTGAAATGTGGCTAGTGAGTCTGAGGAACTGAATTTTAATTTAATTTAATATTAATTTAAATAGCTGTGTAACTAGTGGCTACCATATTGAATAGTGCAGGAGAAGAAACTAAAATTATGGATATCATCTGGTCCAGGGCTATTCCAAGGGTGGTCGGTGGCCCTCAGCATTGCTATCACCTGGGAGCTTGTTAGGAATGCAAATTTTCTGGCCCTACCCCAGACCCACAGAATCAGAAACTCCGAAGATTTGGGTATACTCCGCAAGGCACTGGTCTAATCCAAGCTCTTCTTTTACAGATAAGGAAACTGATCCCCACCCCACCCCCAAGGGCCTGATACTCCAGCTAAATTGAAGCCAAGTTAACTTTTCTAATGCAGTATTTCAGGACTGGGGATTTAGAACAATCCAATGGCACTGTGGTAACCTAATACTTCCTAGATGTTCCGACTTTCTACATATGCCTCGCCCTCCAGCGTGGCCCTTCTTAGATCTTAAACAACAGGAGGAGCAGTCAAATCGGAGGCCAGGAGAGTGGTGAGGAGGCTGTCATGGTCACTGAAAGGGCAGCTGATTATGGCCCGACTGTGCCGGTGTAGTGAAAATGGAGAGAAAAGGACAGACTCGGGAGATACAAGACAGCAGCAGAAGCAACAGAGCTCGGGGGTTGGTTAGGTTTGAGGGAAGGCTGGCACTGAAGATGGCAATTTGGGTACTTGAAGTCCAGGAACAGACAAGATTGTTCACTGAGCGTGAGTACGAGCGAAGTGGGGCAAGGCCAGGGGGCGGAACCGGAGAACAGCCCGCTGAAGGGGCCGGCAGAGGCTGTCTTAACCGTTTACAACAGGCATGATGTGTTCTGTTTTTAAACTAAACAATGACAACAAAGGGAATTAAGAGGGAGTAGCCAGGGAGACAGAAGGTGAATCTGGACTCTGAGTGCCTCAGAGATTAAAAGAAGGAAGGTTTTCTCTTTGCTTTTTTTTT